TCCCTAACCACTGACCCTACCCCTAACCCTTACACTTACTCTAACACTACTCTAGCCCCAACCACAAACCTATGTATTACTAACCCTAACCACAACCCCAATCCTAACCCTACCCCTAACACTTACTCTAACACTACTCTAGCCCCAACCACAAACCTATGTATTACTAACCCTAACCACAACCCCAATCCTAACCCTATCCCTAACCCTAACCCTATCTGTAACCCTAACCCTAACCCCAACCCCATCCCTATCTGTAACCCCAACCCTATTATCCTAACCCTAGCCCCAACCCTAACTGGGAAAGCATGGCTGTTGCGCTTGAATATGGGAATCTTTGTTACCGTGAAAACAAAACTGGCGTCAATTAGAGCACACTTTGAAAACAGTGAAACAAAAGTTGCAAGCAATAGGGTTAAATGAGACAGAAACGTGCATTTTGAGGGTTTACGTGAAAACAATTTAATTGTAGCTGTCATTGAAATAAAAAGGTGGAAATTCAGATGGTCCAAATCTAATATCTTCTTTGACAAGTCATCTTGCATCTTTATCCAAGTTTTATTTGGTTTTTATTTTATTAATAAATCACAAGATCACGTCATCATTTATGCCATTTCACATAGTCTGTGTACAAGCCAGTGTTTAGTCAAGGTTTTGATTCTCTAGGCCGGCGGTTGAATAAAAAGGTATGTTTTAGACAAATTGTACACGAGTTAAAGAAAAAAAGAAGATATACGCCAAATTTGTGTTGTGTGTGTACAATCACAACTGTTTTTGCAGGAGTTCATTGGTGTTTCATCATGCCGTTTTCATGCACAGCACCTAGGGAAATTCGGAATGGTCAATACTTGCATTTGATATTTTCTTAAGTTTTGAGAAATGGCAGGTAGATTTTGGTGGTGTTCTATTTGAGTTCGAAAAGAGACATATTCTTGACCAGGTAACTTGGGTGACTTTTTTCCCTTGTCCCTTTTTGTAACCCGAATGCTGATATAAAATTTAAGGCCAGTGAGGCTCTAGATATAAATGACAACATGAAGTTTTGGTCTTGCCAAAATTAAATGTAACGTCGGTTACGTGGAGATAAAACAAAACTGAATGGAGTGCGCCGTGATACAGAGGCTGTATACAGCTTTTGGGACGTGATTAGGGTAAAACCAAAATCTTTACTGATTCGACATCCAGTGGATTCCCTGTCATTTTCTGTTGTTCAATTCAAACAACTATAGGGATTTTTTGTTTGTTTGTTTTGCTTTTGTTTGACCAGTTTCGTGCTTGTATTTTGGGGAGCAGATCTGTTGGCGTGACGCAAAAATGTTAATCCAACACAAGTGGGGCATGCGTGTCTTTTGTGAGGATTTCTGTTTGAAAATATCAAGTGATTCTGCAATTGAAAGCAAGCGAAATTGTACTAAATGTTTTTCCATTAATGAAATAAGGAGGCGAGTGTTGCCAGACTGTGCTGTCCCTTGATACGTTTCTCTTGCACCGTCAATAACAAAAATTCACTGTACAGATACGTTGCC